GGCCTCTTGACTCTGGGGGTCCACTTTTCCTGCTCTTCAGATTAGAAAGGGAAGGCTTCTCTTGAGCTCCTTCTAGCCTCAACCAGGACCCCATCCCAGTTTCAGGCTGTCTTTGAATAAAGCTAGGGAGATCTCAGATTTTTTAAGACTAGAGCATCACCGCTGGTTCAGAGGCACTTCAATTTCTCATTTCTTTCCCCAATCTTTCTGCTACCATTCAATTTTTAGAGGCCTTACATACCTGCTCCTTGCATTCTGTCCAGCATTTTTAGTTGCCTTCAGTCAGAAATACTTGGAAGAGTTCACTGCATTTGCCTTTGTAAGAATTGGGGCTTCTGTTTGCCTTCTTAGGATACAGATTGCAATGGGATGAGTTATCCTTGAAAATATGCTGTAATACTTTCTGTATTTTCCTGATTGCTGTCTCTATACAAAGCTGAAATACTCAAGATCAATTCACTGGTCTTAGAACTATTTTTCCCAAAATTTGCTTTCAATCCTTTGCCATGAACCATTAGGTAAAGAGTCAAGAGAGGGAAGGAAGAAAGGAAGAAAGGAGGGAGATAATGGGATTTCCTGAGAAACTTTCATATTCTAGGCATTATGCTAGGTACTTTATATTTATTATCTATAATTCTCAAAATAACCCTTTAATAGTCTTATTATGCCCAATTCACATAAAATTGGGGTTCAGATTAGTGTCATTCCTGGATCCCACTGTTAGTATGTTGTAGAGCAGAGATTCAAACTTTAAACATCTTTTGCAGAACTATGAACTATGCAATGTGCCAAGCACTTTTATATAGATGGCAAAAGGTGGGAATTGCTTGTATTTCTGTTTTCCCACAGATAAAGATCAAATTCCAAATGTGAAAAACCATCTCTCTCCCTTTCAGGTATTTCCACGTAATGTGGTCTGGCTGATGTGAGTGGCAGTAGGGTCTCTTCTCCACCGCCTTTGTCCATTGCTGTAAGGACAGAGCTGATATTTAGCTGGTATGAGTATCAATTGTTAAAATACTGAAATTATTCTGTGTCAGCTGCTTTCTTGAGTCCCTGAGTGTCCTCTTTACTACCCCAGCCACCTGACCCTCCCTGGAACCTCCTGACTCTTTCCAGACTCCAACAATTTGAGGATTAAAGCTTGGGAAAACAGAGGTGTTCAGGATCAGACCCAACACTTCCTGGCATCTGTTCTGACCGGTGGCCATGCCATACTGGCTGTGAACTGTGTTAGATCTCACCTCTGCTTCAGTGAAGCCTCTGTATTATGTCTATATTATTTGTTCAGTAGCCATGGGAAAGCTTATTTTTGTTACATTACCTGATTACGATTCAGTTTTACATCAACAGTGAGTATGAGACCATTAATGACTCCTAGTTTCTTTAGGAAACTAAAGAGCCTTACAGAAGTTTCTCAGGGCCATCAACTTCTAGCAATGTTGGGAAACCTAATTCCCTGGTCCTGCACCATTGCCACCCAACACAGATAACCCTTCCCTGGTTCACTAAAATCCTTCATTTGCTGTCTAACGCCACCATTCTTATTCTACCTTTTATCCCTCATAGTTACATGTGTTTGAATAGAGGATAATAGATTATGTCTCTGGTGTGATCAAAATTTCATTCCTCCTTTAACAGCTGTTTCTTGTAGGAAAATTGCTTTTGATTTAGTTTTAAAGCTACACAGATTTTTAGAAGAACACATTCCTTGACTTTATGCTTATCTGGCACTTCCAAAAGTTTTTTTTTAATAAATGGTATACTTCAAAGCAGGAATTTACTTAGGAAAAAGTATACCTAAATTTTTTTTTTAATTTACAAAATATAACAACTGATTTAGCTGCTTAGTAGTGAAATATAATACCACTTTAAGGACCTGGGACTTGGTTATAGAGAATACAGTTAAGGACTGGTTAAAAATAAGAAGTCCAGGCCGGGCGCGGTGGCTCAAGCCTGTAATCCTAGCACTCTGGGAGGCCGAGGCGGGCGGATTGCTCGAGGTCAGGAGTTCGAAACCAGCCTGAGCAAGAGCAAGACCCCGTCTCTACTATAAATAGAAAGAAATTAATTGGCCAACTAATATATATATATATAATTAGCCGGGCGTGGTGGCGCATGCCTGTAGTCCCAGCTACTTGGGAGGCTGAGGCAGAAGGATCACTTGAGCCCAGGAGTTTGAGGTTGCTGTGAGCTAGGCTGACGCCACGGCACTCACTCTAGCCTGTGCAACAAAGCGAGACTCTGTCTCAAAAAAAAAAAAAAAAAGAAGTCCTTTTGTAGCCTGACAAATACAATGCATGAACTAAGTTCATAATCATAAATTTGGTTCAGAATTTTATAATCATGAATTAAGTTCAGAATCTATGCACTAAGCTTCTAGTAGTCTTTCACTAAGAAAATTGCTCAGGGCGTCGCTCAAAGTATGTGTACAAGAGAATGACATTAAGTCAATTTTTAACTTTTAAGTACTTAGGTAACTAAAAACAGCAAATCAAAAAGAAGGATGGAGGCTGCTGGTAAAGATTTATTATAGCAGCAAAGAATGATCACTGACAGCCTCTTAGCAAAACTATAACAAGTTGACATGTTTTACTGCCTGGGGCCATTTAGTGCAAAGGCAAACAGCTGAATGGACTATATGATATCCTGCTATAATATTCTTTAGTGGACTGTAGGGTAATTAAACTGCTACATCACATTCTGAAACTTTTAAATGATGATTCCATTGTACCAAGAAAAGATAAATTATATTCAAATATTCTTTTTGAGAAGATACTTCTACCAAATCATAAAACTTTCATTTCTGATAAATCATAGCTATCCACAAAACTTTGCTACCTAGCATGGTTTCATTATCCAGAATGCCCAAGTTCCTATAAGTTCTATATAGCTGAGATTCTATATTATTAATAGGTCTGTGATGCTCAAAATTATTAAACTCTCAAGCTGAACTCTGTCCAACAGAAATATAATGTAAGCCATGTATGTAATTTTAAATTTTCTAGTAGCAACATTTACAAAGTACAAAGCAAAAGGGAAAATGAATAGACTTTATTGAACTCAATCCAACAAAAATATTATTTCAACATAAAATGAATTAAAAATTATTAAGAAATATTTTGCACACTTTTTTGTATATCAAGTCTTTGGAATTCAATGTCTCTTTTAAATACAGAATTCCTCTCAATCCAGATACTAAATTTTCATCAGAAATACTTGATCTATATTTAGATTTCAGAAAATCTATAATTCAAAAAGTAGATTCAGATGTTCCAGTTGTTTCATAGACACTTAAAAGTTTTCCAATAAAGGAATCAAGTACTAAAAATTTATTTTCATGAAATATTCAAATCCACCTTGACACAACTGGTTCATTTTTTAAAACGATTTGCCTTTGAAGCAAAAGCATATCAATTTCAAAATTATGTCTGTCCAAGTTCAGTAAATTCACTAACTTTTGTGTCAACTCATTAATATTAACACTGAATTAGGGTATTACATAAACCAAAATGCAATTATAAATTATCAACATTAATGAAACATTCTTCAAATTTTTCTTATAATTTTACAGTGAATTTTAATGTTGGCAATTTAAAATCTGCATATTGGCCTACTTTAGAAAAATGTGCAAAATCATTAATATCAATTTGTGCTAAGAAAAATTTCAATTTTAACATAATTACTTGGTTTGGATTGAATTATTTTCCCCTCAAAGATGATGTGTTGAAGTCCTAACCCCCAATACGTCAGCACATGATCTTATTTGGAGACAGGGTCTTTAAAGATGTAATGAAGTTAAAATGAGGTCATGTAGGTGGACCTTAATCCAATATGGCTGATGTCCTTATAGAAACAGAAAATTTGGACAACATGGAGATTTGCACAAAGAGAAAATGCAATGTGAAGAAACACAAAGAAAAAGATGGCCATCTATAAGCCAAGGGAAGTCTGAGGCAACCAGAAGCTAGGAGAAAGTCCTAGAACAGATTCTTCCCTAGCCATTTTAGTATGGCACTGCCCATACCTTGATTTCAGACTTCTGGCCTCTAGAACTGTGAGACAATGTATTTTTGTTGTTCTAAGCTACCCAATTTGTGTTCCTTTGTTATGACAGCCCTAGGAAACTAATACAATGCTTATATTTGTATAACTATGACACAAATAAGCTTTTCCTTTCATGAGAACTTCAAATTTAGCTTTCCCATATGCATAGTGATATCAATGAGAAAACATAAACCACACTGCCAGATTCTGTATGATTCCTGAATATATGGCAAGCATTTCTTTTATCTCAAGAAAATCTTAAATTGGAATTTACAATATAGGTCTTCAGTGACTTAACCAACAAGCTTTGGCAAAGAGCACAAATCATCAAAATCACTGTTTTTTATTTCTTTCAACAGTTCCATGAATTGGTGATGATTCATAACATTTGCAGAAGTTATATTACTGCAAGAGAAATCACATAAGATACCCCAAAATATGAGAAGACAACTTCAATTTGATAATGACACAGTACTATTCTGGGATGCAGTATGGTATAGAGAAAAGAGCTTTGGAACTAAGCATACCAGGGTTCACTTCTCAACTCGTGTTTCCAACAGGGTGTCTTTGGGCAAGTCCCTTAGCCCCTCCAAGTTTACTGATACCTCTCAAGTCTCCATCTGATAAAAGGCATAATCCCACCTTCCTCACAGTGCCACTGGGGAATTAATTTGGATGACTTAGTTAAAAGCCCCATTTCACTTCATGGCACATACTAAGTATCAGCTGCCTTCATCTTTTCTAGGATCCTTTCAGAGAATATCTACCTGAATTGACTCTGGCTGCCAAGTGTGGCTTTTATTCAAACTCTGTTCTTTGGCAACTTGTCAAAAAGTTCTAGATTCCTATTAATCACTTTCTTTCTCATGTCACACTGCATTTACAGCAAAGTCACTCAGTCTGCCATACTTTAACTTATGTGTAAAAATGTTGCCCAAAATGTCTAGCCATACTTGTCTGATGGGTGGGATTCCACAAAATACCCAGCGAAGGGACAATAGATTCGGGGTTGCAGGTCCTTCACCAGCCGGGCCTTGTAGTTCAGGAGCTTCTTCCTTTCTGTTTTAATGAATTGGGCTTTCCATTCCTCTGAAATGGCAGAATTTGGAGAATTTAGAGTTTCCTCTTCCCAGAAATCACACAAAAACAAATGCTCCACCAGATTGGAATTTTTTTCAGGAGATAAAATTGACAGATAACTAAGGCAGAAATAAAACAAATTTCTGTGTCATTAAGTAGAAAATTTCCCCCAGCTTTATCTTGCAAATTTCAGTTAGCTACTAGGAAAATGTCACCAGGCCACCCAAAGGTACTGGCACTGAGCTTCCTCCTTGTGATATGGCAATCCATTGAGACCCTAGCTGAAGACACAGGGCAGCATAATCTTACCTTGCATGCATACACTTTTAAAGGGCACTGTAATTGTTGACATTATTCACTCTTTACAAACATGGAAATGGCTTTCTTAATTATTTTAGTAGATCATAAAATAAGTCATATTCAACATAACCTGACAATGCACAGTGATTAAGAGTATGACACTGGAGTCATGACCGATCACTTACTGGTTGGGCAGCCTTGAGCAAACTCCCTAACTTCTCCTATGTTTCCTCCTCTGTAAATGGAATCATGATGCCTACCTCGTGGGGTTGTTTATTTGCTCATTCTTTCAGTCAACCAATTTTTATTGTGTACCTACTATGTGCCAGATGTGGTTCTAGGCACTGGAATAAAGTGGTGAACAAGACAAAGCAGGTCCCTGCTCTCATGGAGCATTCCTTCTAGTGAGAGAAGCAAAAATGAACAAGTAAATAAATAAAGTCATTTATTTAGCAATGTGCTACAAAGAAAATAGAAAAGGGCAATAGGACATAGAGTGTTTAGGGTGGCATGGGATGGGATGGAGGCCATCACTAGGGTGGTCAGAGAAGAGATGGCATTTGAGTTGAGAGACGGATGTAAAGTTGCCCACCATGTATGTGGAGATCAGAGCCAAGAGCATTCCAAGCCGTGTAAACAGCAAGTGCAAAGACCCAGGACACACACACACACTTGATATTTAGGGTCTGAGAAACAAAAAGCAGAAAGATGTGGGCTGATATATAGCAAGCATTGGAGAGTCAGGAAGTAAATGAACTTGAGGAATGAGGCAGGACTCAGAGCATATGGGTCACAGGACCAGGTAGCTGTTATTATTATTGTTATTATGAAAATCTGACAAACACAGATACGGACACAGAAAAAAATTAAAGTTACCCATTACCCAGACATAACCACTATTAACATTTTGGTATATTCTAGACCTTTTTAAATGCATGCACATGCATTCACTCACATACACACTCAAATAAGAATGGGATTATGCTAGTTAACCTTAAATAAGTATATATTTTTGCACACTTTTAACCTTAAGGACAGAACCTTCCCTCTGTCTCACATGTGGTTATACACTCTGGGAGGCAAAGAATACAGATCTGTAGAAGAAAGCAAGGAACGGGACAGAGGCTAGCCTCATACTGCAAGTAGTGCATTTTCTGCCACAATCACTTGCCAAACATATTAATTTATTAATTGGACCTATACTGAGCACTTACAAAGCTAGTGTTGAGGATGCACACTTTCCCTCTGCCAACCCCAGCACCACCCTTAGACCCAGAGGGCCCCCCTGTGACTGCACTGGTCCCCTGTGAGCATGTGCTAAGGGCTGTGTCTACATTGGGTTGCACACAGCCAAGAGCACTGAAGCCTGGATGACCTTTCCTATTCTGCTCTATGGTCTGCACAGTGAATCCAATGACTCTTTGTCATGGCTCCTCCTGAGGTGCTCCCTGATCTCAGTGTTTCCTTTATGCTCCATCATCACATTTGGAGCCAGAAACTTTAGTTTGTAATATCTGCTGCTTACTAGTCTGTTTCCCCCAATAATTTGGTAAGCTTCTTGTGGGGAGGGACCAGGTCTCCATTACCTTTGCGTTTGCTCTCACAGCATTTAGCAAAGTGCCATGTCTGATGCTTAGTATTACTTTCATATAAAATATTACCAGTGAATTTTCCACCATTGAAAGTCATTGGAAAGCCAGATGTTCCTCCGGCAAAGTCACTCATCATCAGATCAACCTTCTCAGGCAGCCTTCCCCCGTTAGGTCTGGTGCAGTCTACTGTATTGAGTATTTTATGACCTGTGGAGAAACAAAGTGGTAAAGGTTTTAAAGGTGAAATCTTCAACACCATGGTTTGAATTTCCAAGCTGACAAAGTCTGTGCAATCTGACTTACCTGTTTATGGAAGAACTGCTTATGTCCAAAGAAAAACAAAGAGAGTAAGATTTCAAAACCTAAGGTCTTGAAGAGTATATTCTGAATTTTCAAGTGAATAAATTCTTTCCATTTGGCTTGATGGATGCTGAGTGTCTCACGAAGACATTTAGCTTAATTCTACTCTGGATCATAAATAGATTGCTTTCTTCAATCAACCATCTTTAGATGTTGGGCCCAAAGGATTAAGGAAGAGTGACTGGATCAACGAAAATCCTTCTACCTTTTGCAAATTCCATGCAAAGCCCAAGTTCAAATGATTGTTGGGGCAGTAAGGTCATCTTTTGGTAGGAAAAGCAGGAGTGTATGATTATATTACATGATAATATTTCATGGTGAAAGTAACAAAAGTCATTTATTTAATAAATGTAGTTTTGAAGAAATTGCTATAGGTAAACTATAAAATATCTTCTACCTTCTGAAAAAAACCTTTGCACCTGTCACTACACAGTCTACATCATCGGTAATATATTATCAATCTGAAAGATAGCTCAATTTTCAAAGACAAGGTTATAATACACTATGTTCTCTGAAAATGAAGATGAAAGAAGATGAACATAGGATGGAATTTTAGATGGCTATTACTATTCTTCCCACCAAGTGGATTTTTCATTTTTTATGAGGATGAAAAGGTACCTTTGTATTCCACGATGATGCAAGTGTCCATCTCAGGATGAACACCATCCATCAGGATCATGAATCGAAGATTTTTGTCTACCTGGAATTTAACAATAAAGCCAACAACTGGGTATATCAGTTTTGCTTTTAATTAATATTTGAAACATTTTTGCTTTCAATTAATATTTGAAATATTTCCTGTTCTAGAAAGAAGCGTGGAGAACCTGCGGCCTTAAGCCAAAATGTGGCCTTCTAGGTCCTTAAGTGCGGCCTTTTGACTAAATCCAAATTTTGCAGAACAAATCCTTTTATTAAGAGGGATGCAGCAGAGAAAGATGAAGCTTTTCTTGCCTCCTTTGGTGCTTAAAAAAGAATATTGAAATCAGAAGGCCACAGTTCCCCACCTCTTCAAGAATCCCCTTATTCAGAACTGGATTTATTACCTGTTCCATAGAGTTACACTACTGGTATGTAGAAAGAAAATCATCTTTACCCAGGATAGTCTGCCCAACATTTGAGGTTCAAATAAAGGTGTTTATGCAGACCATGGGCAGACCATGTTGGCCATTTTTCCCCCTGAATCTTAAGGTGACTACCTCACCTAAAATTCATCCCAGAAAGCATAACTGGAAAGTTTGCAAAGAAAACAGATTCCTGACCTGCTGCCATATTCCAAATGGCACTACATTGATATTAGTCAACTTGACACCGCTCTGATTCAGATTCCAAAATACAGGTCTTTCTGTGTTTCCAACATAAATGGGAATATCTGGTCTTCTCCCAGCAAGCTTCTCCAGTGTTGGGTAACTAGGATTAGAAGAATAGAAAGGTTGAAAGGTAAAAAAAATAGGGGCCATCTAGTATGAGAGACAGTTTGCTCCTTTTAATAACATATCGACTGAGAAGCAGGGAATTGAGAAGCAGGCTCTCATCAGAGTTCAGGGAAGAGTTTCTGCTCACTGTGATGGTGAGGGCAGGTTCCCAGGAGATTCCTCTCTACTGTTAGAACACACCCTCTACCATGGTGTGTACGTCAACCCCATACACAAGTTCCGCTTGCACCCCGATGCTGCTTTGAGTAGTGGTAGTTCTAACAGAAGGCACGGAGCAGAAAAAGTCATGCTGCCGAGGTTGCTGGCAGGTGAAGAGCTCCATGAGCTTCATTTCTTCGAATTCCTCCATTAGTAGTTAAAGAGAGGACTGGGACATAGTATAAGAAGAATCTATGGGTCACCACCATTTGGGAGGTCAGTTTTGCAACCTTTTCAAGCCACACTTTGATGTACAGAATGTATTATTTATCCTTAAAGAGGGTCAGAGTTGCCAGCTAGGCAAGACAGTAAAATTTAGTGGAGAGGAAAACTACATTCGACATTACAGTAATCCCAATTCAGTATGTAATCAATCATTATTAATCAGATATTAATCTGATTGATATTATCAGATATTTTTGAATGCCTACGCTCATTAAGTCAATGTTTATTTATTGTGTATTCATTATAAGAAAGGATTACTATACCACTGTAGTATATGGTAGAAAGATGAATAAACAAATAAAAGATTAGATATCTATCATATTTCAAACACAGTGTTAGGCTCTTTCACATACTATGTTATTTGGTTCTTACAAAAAAGCTCTGAGGTTTTTTGATTTTTTTGTAGATGAAGAAACATTCAGAAATATACAACTAATAAATACTAAATTGGTATTCAAATTTGAGGCTTCTGATTGTAAACCTAGTACTACTTCTATTAGAAGACAGTTTTTAGCTTTAATAAATGTACTATCTGGTTTAAGAATCAGACTTGTTCATAAAGTGTAATGTCAGGTGAAATAAGATATATAATCATTAAAAAGAAACCCATAAAACTTGTATGTCAGCAGTTATCAGCTCTACTAATATTCAAGTTCCAGCCCTGTGTTAAACGATATTCAATTAAGTAGAATCTGGATATGGGGGCTGCAGTGGGGGGGGGGAGAATCAGTAGGTTTTCTCCTCAGAAACAAAGGATTCAAAAAATCAAGGATTCTTTGAATGTGCCTTCAATCTCTGGGTTCAGCAACCGAATCTTATGTTTTAAATGACTTTAGGAGCTAGGTTAAATTACTCTAAAATGGATATTTATTGCTTTGTGATTTTTTTTTAATTGCTTATAATTCTCATTGGCATTTAGTAGTAACATCATCTATTACAATACTATGTATACATAATAAAATTTCACTTCTTTGAATAAAGACTATTCACTAAAGTATGTTCATCTTTTCCCTTATTTTTGTGAGTCAGGCAGGATTTATTCAGTAAATAAAACACAGGAGGATGGGGGGGCAAATGACCTCACTGTTTATTAGTTGACTAGGCAAGAGTTGAAAGGTACAGGCCAAAGGAAATCAATTCAGAGGAATAAAAATCACAAGTTTCAGCAACTTTTCAGTAATAAACTATCTGCAACACATTGTACAACCAATGTGTTGAGATACTATAGTTAAAAAACTGAGGTTAATACATGACAATTTTGTTCACACAAGCCCTTGAAACTAAAATTAAATTGATTTTCAGGTCAGTAGTTCAGGAATAACTCAACTAAATGACATTTAAAAAGTTCTTACTTTCCCTAAAATTCAGTGTATTCCCATAGGATGTCTCTCATTAGGACTTTAGGCAATTGCATCCTTCAAACACTATAAAGCAATCACTTCATTTATGTAATAGTGTTATCCCAATACAAGCTATACAAAATTACTACCACACATTACTGTTATAACACAACACATGAATCTAGGACTCTTACAATCCTGAAATTATGCAAATGTAGTTCCAAGAAGTTATGTGGGACAAAGGTATCATATAGAGTAGATTTTTAATTGTATACCACTATACAATATATAAGTACCACTATACCCTAGTGGGTTGTGATCAATTATGAGGTCTGTTACAGCTAATTTGTTAATAAATCAGTTAAATAAGGTTTTAAACCATTTCCTTAAGACAAAAAAAAAAGCCCATCATATTCATGCCTTAGAGTTTTCATATGTTTTTGAACGGAAAATCAAAGAGCCAGTTAACCAACAGCTAATCTATTATCCCTAACCATGGTCATTTCATCTGAAGTATGTTCTACATGTAAACATAGTCTGGAGGGTCACAGAAAAAAAAAAATTACAACTGCTTCTTTAGAACATTGTGGGCATTGCTTGTGTTTATATTAGCAACCCAGCAGAAGTGATAAAAACTTCACAACAAGGATGAGGAAACATGACACTATAATTATATAATTATAATTATTAATTAAACATGACACTATAATTAATATGATACTCCCTCTTCTGACAACTCAGTTCATTTGTAAATACATGTAGTCTCTTAAGTGAAAGTTCTTCTTCCTTTCCGCTCGTTTTCCATTGTCTGGGTTAGGGAGGCTTCGGTTCATATCATCACTAACATATTGCTCTGGTTTCAGTGAAGTGTTGGATGAGGTTGACTTGGGGTTAATAAGCAGGGAGCTCAGTGCCAGGATGCTATAAACCAGAGGTCAGCAAACCACAGCGCATGGGCCAGATCCAACTTGCTCTTGTTTTTGTACAACTTTGCAAGCTAAGGCTGCTTTTTACCCTTTTAAATGGTAAAGAAAATCAAGAGGGCAATATAATTTCATAATACATTAAAATTATATGATAGTCACATGCCATTTCCATAAAACAAGTTTTATTAGAACACAGTTTCATTCAGGACTACTCTGTGGCTGCTTTTGTGCTACAACAGCAGGGTTGAGTCATTGCGACACCAGCCGTATGGCTTGCAAAGCCTAAAATATTTACACTATGGCCCTTTGTAGAAAATATGTGCTGATTCCTACTATAAACGTTGAACTGAAAAAGGAAATCAACTTTGATTACTCTTAAGCCTAGACTTGTGTCAAGGGGCCTTAGGGTAGGGGTGGACAGGGTAGAGAAGGTTAAGAACCAACCCCTCCTTTCCACAATAGCTCCTTCCTCACTTTCAAAGGTGTAAAGTGTGGAAACACTGTTGAAAGTATAAAATTGCTAAGCGAATGTAAATATTTGTCTGTATCAGTCCTCTTTTCCTCATCCCAACTGAACCTATTTCAAAGTGAGCTTTCCCCTTAGGAGCTGAGCACTCAGGGCTTCCTTACCTCAAGTGGTCTGAGTGCATGTGACTGATGTAAATGAGGTCTGCTTGGCACAGCCTCTCCAGCCAATCAGACGGAGGCTCATGTAGCAACCACCATCCTCGGGCAAAAGCAGGACCCATTAACCAAGGGTCAAACACCATTCTCTTGTCTCCCAACTTGAGGTCCATGCAGGCGTGAGTGAGATATGTTACCTGTTAAAAGAAAGTGGGATTCCTGTTATTGAATCAGTGCTGGTCAGCAACAACGAACTGAAATGTTTGGCCTGGTTAGCTGACAAGTCAGGTTGGAGAAATTCGCACCTAAGCACGGTCAGGCAAAATCTTGGACTCAAGTACAACTCAACAGGAGCCTTTCATAGAACACAATTCCCAACACAGGTCATGGCTTTATCAGAAGAGAAATTCTCACGGTTGGTTTTAGGTGTCAGACCAATTGATTTTCCTAGTTTTACTAAATACGTATTTATGATCTACAATGCAGAGTATGTCTTGTGACTAGTCCTTCAAAGGAAGGCAGTTAGACTTGTTATGACATGCATTTGGGGATTTAAATGCCAGAGTGGCTATTAATAGGAATATGAATGAACAATTCTTTTGAGTTTGGTGGGTTGACATAGCTCTGCAGACTGAACTGGAAACTAGCCAGGCTTGCAAGGCTTTCTCTTCTAAATTACCTGCCAAATAATCACCCCTTGAGGATATCAAGGTCTTCTGATAATTGCTACAAACAATCACTTAGAGACAGGAACAGACAGGAAATTCCAAATTCCTCCTTCATTCCCTTGCCATGGCCTGGCACATCCATGGAAAAGGAATGTAGCAAGACATCTCTGAGACAAGGTAGCAGAAACTCGAGCATGAAAAGCCAGCAAAGTGGGTGAGGAGAGGTCAAGGAACCAAATCTGTTTCTATTATGTCCATTCTGGGTGGGTGCCCATTCATTTCCTTACAAGAGTAACTGCCCCAATACACACAAGCTTCCTAAATACACAGAAAAATAAATTTTTGATTGTTTGCCTCTCCCAAACTATTAAAGTATTTATTCTGAAGGAAATTCTCTTCAAAAGTTGGGAAAATTCACAAGGAAATTTGTAAAAGATCTTAGGGCAACATGCAGAAATATGCAACTAGCTATTCTATCCAACAATGATCTGGCACTAAGGGTAATTTTGGAACTTCCTCCAATAGTTTTGAATGACTCACCTTCCAGACCTCCTCTGAAGTTTTGTATTTTTTTTTCCTATAAAGATTTTCTTGCAATCCCTGCCAAGTTCTGGGAGTTCCTTAAAGAATTTGCTGAAGAGTTCAGAATGACTTTATCATATATCCTAACTAGCCATCTCAAAGAGGATTTAAGGTAATATAGGATTAATGTGTGTATATATGTGTGTGTGTGTGTGTGTGTGTGTGTGTATAATGAACATATTAGTTATATTTTTGTTTTTAAGAATACTGTAATTTTAATATTTACTTACCTGCACTTCTCCGAAAGCCAAATCTTCAGGGGATCTGGGCTCTGAATCCCAGGGGTTGGGAGGATTCAGTTCTAGAAGTAAAAGTCCATTGTTTTCATCCATCTCAACAACTAGAACCAAATGGGAACAAATCTGGATTAATAACAAAAATGTCTTTTAAAAAGCATCACTGAAATAGAAATGTGAGGTCCAGATACACAGAGTGCCACAAATCAAAGGAAAATTAAAACAAAGGGTGACACTCACTTGCGTCAAGAGGTATCTGCTGAGATGATGGCTTAAGATGGATAACTCATTTCCTTGTTCATATTACACTAAAGGAACCCATGAGCTCTCAGTCATACCAGGGATACATACATATACAATTTCACTCCAACTAAATGAATGATTGACAGAGATGGGTTCAAGGTGCAGTATACAGAAAGGAGTACCTGGTCTGCTTGCAAAAGACAAAACAAACTTCAAATAGCAGGTAATCCTCCAGCTGGGCTGGAAAGACAAGACGTTTGGAGGAAATGAAACAAATACTATGATGTGAGGCAAAAGGAATGAGAGAACAGAATGTGCAGAGGCATGGAAGAGTTTGGTATTCACAAGGTGAATTTCTGGTAATTTATGACTGAGAAAAATGGTGTTTAGGTCAGGCAGGATAGATCAGCCAGAGTAGGTCACAAAGGACCCTAGATACCATGCTAAGAGATTTGGATTTTATTATGTGATAATGAGGGAAAAGAATTTTTAAGCAATTATGGCAGACACTTCTGGTGGCCTGCACAAAATCCATTCTCTCCTTCTTCCTTACTATTAGCATTCTAATTTTATTAGGGGTGATATGTCTATTAAAGATCACGGTTTCCCAGGTCCCTTCCAATTAAGAGTGGCCACAGACAGCTCTTACATACAATATAGTACACACAGTTCTGGCCAGTAAGATGCAAGCACAAGTCTCCTAGTGGAATTTCCAGGAATGCTGTTATTTTCCTAAAAGAGGGACAAACTCAAGGGACTTGCACAATTTTCTGTTTCACTTGTCCCTCTCTTGTTTGGATCTTGGTTGCTATGCCTGGAGGAGTAGGAGCCATCTTGAGACCCAGGGGAAAAGAGCCACATACTAAGGATGACAGAGTAGGAGGACAGAAGAAACCTGGTTCTTTGATGAGCCATGGAACAGCCATACTTCCTAGGACTACCTACTTTTCAACTTCTTGTGATGTAAGGAAAAAAAATCCCCTATATGATCAGGCCACTGTTATTTAGGTTTTCTGTTACATGCAGCCAAAAGCAATCCCTAACTGCTCCAGCAAGATAGTAATTAAATCAGAGCTTAATTTTAGAAAGATCAATTGGAGGGAGGCCAGATCCTGTTGGAGAGCTGTTGCCATGGTGTTGGGAGGTCATCAGCAGAGTGCAGATGGGCTTGAGCGTGAGAGACAGTGCCTTGTTTGGAACCCTCGCTTTCCCACTTAAGAGGTGGGCGACGTTGGCCAAGTTACTTGATTTCTCCATTCTTCAGTGCTTTCATCTTTAACCTTCGCTACTTCCAATGACTGTTAATCCTAATAAATGCCAGCCACCGTATTCATCACTAAATGAAACCAAATGTGGTCCTACACCACAAATGGCATCTCCACCCAGCACTCAAAGCCAAGCACTGTCCCATTCTCAAACCTGTGCACTTTCCCAGCTTCCTCAAAATGTATTTAAATAACTTTATATATACTTTCCAAATGAATATTACTTTTACTCACTTTGAGACAACTGCCTATGGAAGAAACTGAAGTGAAAATTACCCATAAAATGAAAAAGGGTGCATTTTAAAATTTGTCCCAGTAGTGGTGAACAAAGACTTATATATCTCAGTCAAACTTCAATTTTCTAAGTCATCTTGAGGAATCATAACAAGGAAAAGGCTGAAAATTTAAAGATATACTACTAAAGTCTTCTTATCTCCCTAGCTTCTGCCTCCTGGCCATGTACTTACATTCTTCCTTGCTGGCCCCGACTAATTGATGACTCATTTAGAGGATTTGCCTAAAAGCTCTCCCTGGTTATCAGCACTGCTCAGTCCCTGGCTTCACTGGGGACTCTAATGTCACCTTATCAGAGAGGGCTTTCTGACCACTCTATCTCAAACAGCGCTCCCTGGCCTACAACTGTCCTATCCCTCACCAGCCTTCTACTCCACCTTATTTTTCTTCCCAGCCTTATCATCATTAGAAATATTATATATGTTATATATATGCCATATATTTATGGTCTGTCTCACCTACAAGACTGTAAACTCCATGAGAGCTGGGATTGTGTTTTGTCACTGCGGGATCAATAGTGTGCTAAGAAAAGTGCCTGGCTCACAATAGTATTCATTAAATATATAGAGAGTTAATTGATTAATAGTCTTAGCTTCATGTCTCCCAAAACTTGTCTCAGGCCTGTATAGCTACACCCCTCAACCTAGACACTGCTCCTGCTCAGACTTAGCAGCTTACCATAGGAAATTTAAATATAAGATTATCTCAGTATAAGTTAAAAATAAAATGCACTTATTACTCCTTCTTTAGTCGTAAAATAGCACTTGACAAACTAGACGTGGTTGCACCAGAAAACTTCCATGGGTCCCTGCAGCCCCGCACCCCTCTACCTTTCTCTTCCCTTGTCCGCCTGCTCTCTGTCTCAGGAGGTTGACCTTTACAGGCCATGTGAAAGGGCTCCCTTTCCCTCGACCTTCTAGGTGGGTTGGGCCATTGCAGAGAGAGGCTGGGGAGAGAGTTCAGTGGGGCTGGGCGCTTTATTCCACTGGCTCTCTCCCTGGAAGGTAAGTTACTTTGGCCTAGCTGTGCTCTGGGCACCCACCGATGTCACTGCTCCTCCCATGGAAGCCAAATCTTTACAACCCTCTCTTCTTCTAGATTTTGGAAGCCACTCCTTCTCCTCCTCCTCTTGGGCCTAAAAATGGACAACTTGGCTGCTGTCAACTCCAGGCTACCGCACCTTCCACAGTGGCTCTCCCACATCCACACCTCGTATTAACAAAATGTCCCTTTGTAAACATGCCCTCTTCAAATTATCCTAACTTAGGAGTGTCATCTGGTATGTGTGTGTGTGTGTGTGTGTGTGTGTGTGACCAAACTAATACAATAACAGAAAATAACTGTCCTTAAGATAGACTCTCTTAGCAAATTTCGAGTATTTTTACCACACACCAAAAACATAATGACTACATGAGGTGATGGACATGTCAATCAACTTGATTGTGGTTATATTCCGTGCTGTACATTTTGAATACACAGATTGTCCCCAATGGTTCAAATTACAATTTTTCGGCTTTACTGTAGCACAAGAGAGATACACATTCAGTAGAAACTGTACTTCAAATTTTGAATTTTCATTTTTTCTGGGGATAGTGAAAAAGCCATATGATAGTCTCCCATGGTGCCGGGTGGCAGCAGGGAGCCCCAGCCCCCAGCCAGCCATGCGAGCACAGGATCAGCAGGTGACCCTCTGCGGTGCTCAATGCTGCCAGATGATTCTGCCCAACTGCAGGTCAATGCAAGTTTAGGCGAGGCTAAACCATGACGTTAGGTAAGGCAGGTGCATTAAATGCATTTGGCTGGCTTATAACCAGTTTATCAGGACTTAAGCCCATTGTAAGTTGAGGAGTTTCTGTATACAATTTTTATTTGTCTATCAATTATATCTCAATAAAGTTGGGGTGGGAAAGAATAGCTATCTTGAAACCCCAAATTCCTAAAAGTGATTACTCCTGGGAGGTGGATGGGGCTATCTATGATATGATCAAGGAAAGGTACTTAAAGATTTGTTGTTTTAATCTTAAACTGGGCTCTGTTTGCATGGTGATCACTTTAAGTACCTTTTAAATATTGCCCAAGAAATTTAATAAAAAACATTATTTTTCTTAGTAATAGCTATTAGCTTATTTAATGGTGAAACACAAATGGCTTTCATTTTTGTTTGCTTGTTTTGAGACATAGTCTCACTCTGTTGCCCCAAGTAGAGTGCAGTGGCATCATGACAGCTCACTGCAACCTCAAACTCCTAGGCTCAAGTGATCCTCCTGCCTCAGCCTCCCAAGTAGCTGGGACTACAGGTATGTGCCATGATGCCCAGCTAATTTTTCTAACAAATGGCTTTCTTAATAAAATCAGGAATACAAAAAGGATGTTTGATATAGCTATTACTTATGTTCCTGAAAATGTAAGTGGTATAATAAAGGTACATATTATTGTTATGTATAGCTTATATGATTGCTGGAAATTAGTGTCATAAAAAGTGCTGATTTTGGAAACATCTGGGTTGGAATCCTAATTCTTATTGCTTGTTAGTAGCAACCATAGCTTATTAGAAGTATACTGAGCCTTCACTTTCAATCTGTAAAAGGAATTATGATGCATACACCCCATAGGTTGTTGTGGTGATTAAATGAGATAATATAAAGTATCTAGCATTATGCCTGGTACAGAGCAGTCATTTAATAAATAATAGCATTATTAGGTAATTATTTTATACTTAAAACAATGAATAGAATTAAAAAGAAAATTCATTATAAGGCAAAAAAGACCCTATATATTTAATACTAGAAAGATCAGCAACAAAATACAGTAGTATTACGGGAGACCCTCAGAAAACTCTTGTACTGATATCTTTTCCTAAGGATTTTCCTTCTTCATAATTTTTCTCTCTCAAGCAATGCAGAAAAAAATGAGTCTATAACTCTTCACTTAATCTTAGCCAAAAGGCTGAGAAGCTATTATAACTCTTAATCATTGTTCTGAAGCAATTACCATAAAGGTCTCTATGTCCCTCGCACAAAGATAACTTGCATATACCCAATGAAGAAAAACATAGTATCTGTCAACTCCCTGCCTCTATAAATAAAGTAGTGACAATGTGGTATCTTTATCTTGATATCACAAACTGATGAAATCTAGGTAATTTGGGTTATAAGTTAATATTTATCCAGAAAAACAAATGATATTTCCTAAAATCCTTTTTAAGGAAGAATAATGAAAGAGAATTAGAACAAAAACATACCAAAGAACTATAATAATCAAATCATTGATTGTTGACATTAGGACAGCCAAGAAGTAGATCC